GACTGGGCAGCAAATACCACTGCTTAGAAACTGGAGAGAGTTCTAAAGACAGAGCAATGCTCACACCAGGCAAAATCTGTGTCCTGAAGGAGCTGACCTTCCAGTCAGGCAGGCAGGCAGAAAAATAAATCATGTAACACGGAGTTCGTGTGGTGGCTCTAAGTGGCATGCACAAAGAACCAAGCAGGGAAGGAGGTAGGACATATTAGGGGATAAAAGGCTACATTTTAAAAAATGGTATCAGCTAGCTCTGAGATTATTTCAAAGGCAGACATCAGAGATATGGGGAGAATGTCATAAGGATATCTTGAAGAAGAGTTTTCTAGGACAGGGGACGCAAATGTTGAGGTCCGAAGTAAAAATGGGATGAGGAAGGTGGAAAATGAAATGATAGGAAGTGAGTTGGAATAGGTATTGTATAGACTGTGTTGGGGATTTGAAGGATTTAGTATTCATCTGGAGTGGACAGAAAGTGATTGAAAAGTTCTCAGTAGTGATGTGAATCATCAGAATCATTCTAGTCTAGGGCAGACAAGGATAGGAACAGGCAGGACAGTGAAGAGCCCCTGCCCTGATCCATGGGAGAGAAGGAGGCTGCTTGGAGTCAGGAACCAACACTAAATAAAGTAAGAAGTTGCAGATTCTTGATAAAGTTAAAAGATTCTGGATCAGCTATTGGGTATGAGAGAAAGATAGCAGTCAAGAGTGACTGTGAGATTTCTGTCCAGAGGAACTGAATAAAGTTGAATTTGCTGAAATGGAGGATTCTGTAGAAGAGGCAGGCTTTAACTGTGTTGGGAGCCATGATCAAGAACTATGTATAAGGAATATTCAGTTAGAGTTCTTACTACACACTTCTTGAAGATGCTATTTAAGAGCCTGGATTCATCCATACTGAAAACCAGAATTACCACAGAATATTGGTACTATGGATTCTTTCTTAAAAACTCTGGACTTAAAACTCTTAATATGTTTTCTTTCAGAAATCACATCTCATCATTTTTAAGCCATCTGCAAATGTTCCTCTTCAGTTTCATTAGAATGATGATGGTGTTAAGAGTTGGCTCTCTCTGAGTTGCATATGACGAAAACTCATCTTTGATTAAAGAGGCTAATTATTGTTAGCTTAAAAAATGTCTTTAAAAACACAAGTATTTGGATATCAAAAATTAAGTGTTTAATGGAAGCTATCACACTTAACTAGAGAATCCTTGTGTTATTTTACATTAATCAGAAATATCTCCTACACTCGTTATTGACAGAAAGCCTTGGATACAGAATGCCATGATTACGAGTACATGAGACAAACACTGCAAGATGGCAGAAGTGTTTGGAATTCACAATGTGCAATCAAGAGGAAGTACATTTGATTAATAACAGTACTTCAGGTTGGCCTGCTTCTTTAGGTTTTATTCATCCATTCATCAATCTGCTCAGAATTTAACGAGTTGCTGCCATGTACTGGATTAGGACTGGGCATTGGGCCTGAGTGAATAAGGCACAGAAAGACTGTCTCAATATAAAGTTTACAAAGCAAAGGAGAAGACAGATAGAAAAACATTACCTTAGTTCTTCATACCTAAGACATACAGGTAGTTCTCTTCAAACTAAAATTCATGAGTCTTACAAAAATCTTAAAATAGAATTTAAAGTTAAATTACATCACAAGTTAGCAAGACTATTAAAGCTACCAGTGATAATATAACAGCTTTAGAAGCTTCCATCTTACTTGCAATTTGATACATGTTGGAAAAGTATTACTATAAAATTTAAAACTTAATACATATTCCTTATATACAAGTTTAAGATGTCTAGGTGTTTTAATTATTTGTATGAATTTCCCAATCAATGCAGAAAAATTTTTCCTTAATAACACCTACAGGTCAACGTGTAGACTTTAGTTGAACTGTAGCAATGGGAATGTATTTTTAAAATATATTTTATTTCAAATTATCAATTATGCATTTTAAATGTTTTAATCCTTTTTACACTTTCAGTTCCTTACACTAGAGACACTATTTGGTATTTACACATGTGTGTCATATTTATTTCACTTAAGAGTATGGCCTCAATATAAATCCATTTATCTATATAGGAAGAAAAGGTCCAAAGGGGTAGGGGAACTGGGAGGGGAAGGGGAAAGGAAAGAAGGGAAAGGAAAAATTATGAGAAAAGAAAAATGGAAGCAAAGTCTGTGTAAATAGGGAAGGGTGGTGGGGGTGAAGGGCACACAGGTAATGGGTAAAAAATAAGAACCAAGATACATCATGTATAGGTATAAGCACCCAGTGATAAATGTAAACATATTGTATACCTAAAATGTACCAATAAAAGAATTTAAGCAAAAAAATATATATATGTGTATATATATATATATATATATATATAATATATATTATTCAGTTTGTGCTGAAATTCCCATTCAACTACTGCTCCACTAGCATAGGAATCCTGTCTTCAATCACCTCATCCAGTTACTAAGCCCAGAGCAAAATCTCAATAAATACTGCTGTTACATGAGTCGCGAGTGTTCTAATTATACGGTTGAGAGAAGGCATGACTCGGCGGTTACCACTACATCTGAATTTGGATGACCCTCCTGTTACTTTCTGTGCCATCTCTGTAAAGTTACACAACCTTCAGCCTTTTCATCTCTAAAGTGAGGATACTAATAGCTTCCAAGTCATGGTGTTGCTGTGAGAATTAAGAATCAATACACAAAAAGTGCTGAGAATCAGCCCTAGCAATTGCTCATTAAGTGTTAGCCATTAATACTATACAACATCATTGTTATGTACAAGTTTCTAATTTAGATTAGGTATTTTTATGCTAGCTCTAAATTATAAAAGGGATTTTCTTCTTTATAAAATGTTATTTTATTCATCGTGTATGATCATAATAGTCCTATTAACTTATAATCAGTCTCTTTGTCTTCCCAGTTCACTAAGTTACTCTGTGATCTCACCATGACATCACATTATCTCTTACAATTACAATTGAGTGATTACATCAATTTTCATGTCAGAAAGAAGAGCCAAATAAACCTGCTTGCACATCTTTATGGAATCAGAATTTTTGATTAATTCTGTGGGTGACCTTAATTTTGACTGTCAACTTGACTGGATGAAAAGACACTTAGGAGAGGAGTAAAACAAACATCCAGGTGTGTGTGGGTGGGTCATACAGGCATGACCTTGGGGACTATATCTGGCCCCTGGCCTCTTCCTCTCTGGGGCTCTTCCTCTCTGGGGCTCTTTCTCTCTGGGGCTCTTCCTCTGCTCTCTTCCTGGATGCCACGGGTTGCGCTATTTTCCTCTCTCCATACTTTTCTACAATGATGTTCCTGCCTTAGAATCGGCAGAACATGGACACTGAAACCTCTGAAGCTGTGAACTAAAAATAAACATTTCTTCCTTTAAATTGCAGGTATCAGGTATTTTGTCCCAGAAAAGGAAAGGTAATGATTAAACTTCGTTTTGAATATATAAATAACAATGTAGTAGATCCTTACTAATTTAGAATTGTTACAGGGACAGCCAAACTTATTTAATGAAAAGCTGTAAAGAGGTAACCTTTTCATTTGATGAATTTTCAAATCCACAGGCTGCTTGGTCTAACAGCAACCATGTGTCACACATAAGAGACTGGCTCAGATTTCTCCTAATAACTAGTCAAGGACACTGTTGAATTTGCTGCTTACAAATGGGTGCTACTAAAAGGACTAAAATGTTGCATTGCTAAAGTTTTGCTCTGCAATGTTCATTGTGTAAGCTGTTAGCCACATGTTTTTTCTATACATTGTGCAAAGACAAGCATACATTCTTCAAAGACCAAATTAATACTGGTTTATTAAAATCTAAAGTAGTAAGATTGTTCTATGTATATTTTTAAAGTATCAATAACTATATTTGACCATTATATTCAATTTTATATTACTGGAGAGTTTAGCAATTTTAGCCAATAAATGAATGTTTCCTATCAAATTTGAAAATGACATATGGAATCTGGAATGCATTCTTCAAACCTGTAGCCAAGTAAATCTCTGTTTCATTCCTATACAAAGCCAGTAAAGAAAACATATTCACTGAAATACATTTTGAAAATAAATTAAGAAAACAACTCTTTGCAAGTAAAACTATCAATGTACTAATCTTTCCAAGCCCTTCATAACCCATTTTCCTTGCCTTTGGAATGGGAATAAGAAGAGAATGAGCATGAAGCACTTGGGATATGGAATATTCTCTGTCACTTTTAGCTATGATGACAGCAACAGTAGCAACTGAAAAAGGTGCATCGTGAGAAAGCATCAAATACAACACAATGATTAAATATTCATTGTGCTCTCACTTTAATGGAAATATCTGTGGGACACTCCACAGTGTAAACCAGTGGCTCTCTTTTGGGCTCAGTAGTTATAACTCATCATTAAAATTTAGGAATTTACCTGTAATTTATAGCTAACAAAGGCTCAGCCTTCAAGGCAACACTGCCCTTTCTGGGGAGATTTTTAAAAGGACTGTACCAATATATTTGTGGGAACTAGCTTCTTCTGATAATAAACTTTTAATGCACATTGCTATCTTTTGGATGATGTGAGAAAGAATAGAAGGAAAAAAGATCACTTCTAATTATTTAGTGTTTCTAACTTGTTTATGCTTTTTAGTAAACCCTAAGCTTTGGGGAATAAAAAAAATATGCAAGGAAAATGCAAATAAACTGATCACATTTTTTTAAAGCTGGATAGATTTATCTGAACACCTCACACTAAGATTTTTCAAGAGGTGCTTACTCATTTCATACAGAGTCTTGAACTGTAGATTTGGGGAGATCACGAAGTCAAGAATATGTGGGGCTCTGGGGTTATGAGCATTTGGAGGTATTTTGTTTTTATCATTCAGCAGGATTAATGACTTTCCGTGTCCATTTAGAATGATAAAAGAGGTTATCATATTTAATACAGATGATTTTCCTCAACATAATAAAATGAGATTTATACATACGAGTTTTCTTGGTGGTTGCATTAACAGTGGCACTGAAGGGACCAGCACCGGCACTGTTGTAAGCCCGGACAGCAGTGTAATACTCCAGGTTGCTCTTCAGGCCCCTGAGTCTGGCTGAGGTCTCATGTCCTGCCACTTTTACTTTGCTTGATGATTCTTCCTCTGCTCCATTATTCCAGTACTGTACCTGGTGGACAGAAGTCACAAAATATGCAAAGGCTGGACATAAACACTTGTTTTTTCATTCAGTGATTTTCGTGAAATTGAACAATGTAACTTATTTTCTTTTATTTATTCAACAAATATTTCCAGAAGACTATGTGCCAGGTGTTGCATTAGGATCTGTGACACAGCCATGTCACATATAACAGAGACACTAGGAGGAAACAGATAATAAAAACCTAAAGGAATGAAGCAGATCAATTCAGACACTGCTGAATAGGACCAGACTACTAGGTTGTAAGAGGGAGAATGAAGGGAAAATCTACATGCCCCACAGAGTGATCTGCTCCCATCAACCCTTAACCAACTCAGCACAAGTTCAATGCAGAATGCTGGCAGCCCTACATGTCCTTCACTGGATAGTGGTGGTTCCTCCTGTGAAGAAAGTGAACTATCACAGAAAAGATCATTAGAAAGCCAGTGAGCTACTGGCCTGTCCTGCAATGACAGCCAAATGGCAACAAGTCCACCTGTGCAGACAGCAGCAGCAGAGAAAACAGAAAGTAGTTAGAAGAGTTGATTTTTAAATATAAGCAGATATTAAAATGTTTTTTATATATGTAATTTTTCTCGACCATGCAAAATGATCTTAAATGTTAGTGAAAGTCTCCTGTAAAAAGAGGAATAAGGTAGGGAAAGTAAATAAAAATACATCTTTTCTAATTACTTCCAATTCATGCTATGAAGTTTAGTTATACTTTGTTATAAAGTTTGCATTGTCCATGAATTAAGAAAAAAAGAAACAAAATCAACAATGACAAAACATGGAAACAAATGGATTACGAAAAGTCCAATTGTTATTTTTTTCCTTTGAACAGAGTCTCAATCTGTTGCCCATGATGGGCTTTAACTTATGGGCTCAAGTCATCCTCTTCCTTTGCCTGCAGAGTACCTGGGACTACATGTGCTACCATATGCAGCTCCAAAGTACAACTATTCCTTACACAGGAGTAGGCCGGGTATTACCATTTGATGATCTAATGCAGGAACCATACAGTTAACATAAATATATAAAGCATATTAAAAGCACAGGCATAATTTTTCCATTTGTAAAGAAATATGCTCTCTCCTATCTTTCTTACAAAAAATGTCTTCTACTATTCTACTTATGATAATAAAATTCAGAAACAGGAAATAACTTTTACAAATTGTACAAGTAGATGGGAATTTGAGCACAATGAAATTATCAAATGTTCCTAAGTGCTCAGAGTCTTACAGCCAAAAAAGATTTGGATCTGCACAAAATGAAACAAAACAAAACAACAAACAATAAAAACAGTGTTAAAATCTAGGGATAGAGCTCCGTGGCAAAGTGCTTCCCTAGCTTATGTGGGGTCTTGGGTTTATCCCCAGTAAAGGGGAAATAAGAAGACTCGGGGACTGGGTCAAGTTGAACAGGAGAAATTTTTCTTAATAATGGAAATCTTACTTAGCTCTGCTTAACTGGGGGAAGATAGACTTTATATTTACAGATCTTATTTTTCATATAAGGAAAGTAGAACTTTAACACGCATATGAAATGGCCCTAATTTAGGATTTGCTCAAATTTGGAGTTAGTTGTAAAGACATTGTGGATAAACAAAACGTGGTTATGGGCTTTATAGGAGATAACCAGTTTCAGTTCTCTGAGCAAAAGACAAGTTACTATTTTTTTCATGAGCAACTATGGACTTCTGTCTTAAAAATAGCATTACATTTTAAATCTCCCTTTATAAACAATGAATCCAAATCACCAAACTAAGTGTTGTACTAGATCAAGAATATGTGTATGTGTGTAGAATTATAAGACACTCTAAATTCATACGAAATTCCATTTTTATACATGTATTTGCGAGCATTTCTCTTGGACAGAGTTCTAAGAGTTGTCTGATTTATAAGAATTTGAGAGGGAGGATGAGAACCCAAAGAATGAGGACCAAAGGGAACACATGTTTTCTTTTATAAAGCCACAGCCAAGCAAATTGCCAATGCATATCAACAGCTTGTAGACATTTTAAATTTACCAATATTAAACTCTGTATGGATTCTTAGGTTTAGAGGGATCAAAAATGATAAGATGCTTTTCCTGCCCATACAGTATTGTCTAGTTATTAACTAAGAATGACACATAGTCAATAATTATAATAAAATGTTATAGACAGCCTGAACACTTGTGGCCTGACATATAGCATAGGCTGGGGGAAATCACATAAAAATGAGCTGTAATAATCCTTACTTAATGGAAAAGGCAGTAGAGGGATAGAGGAGTTAGATAATTCAGTCAAGATCATCCTGTCTAAGCTTTGGTCTCTTGCTAGTGTCTAATCCTTGGGCCATTCTTTTCTGATTTATCAAATTACTTCAATATAAGTTGCCTAAAATGTTCCTTTGGAGACTGATTTAAAGAAAAAACTAAAATATTTTATAACTGGCATGTAGTAACTGTTTTTATAAATCCATTTATAGAAAGTACTTCAAAGTTCTTGATAGGAATATGTTTTAACATACTTAACCAATCTCCATGTATCAGAAGTAGAGATTTATTTTTAGCTCTTAGTTGCTGAGAAGTAGTAGAAATATTTAGACATAGAGAAAAGCTATGCCAAATTTGAAGATGCTATTGTTACTGAAAAGCCATTATATCATCTCGAATAGCTTCACGTACAGTTTTCAATGAATTTACATATAACTAAAACTAAAGAAACCAAGAAAGGTCATTAATATTGCCAATTTTCCGTAAGTTTTTCACACATTTCATAAAATTTTGCCCAAAAATATTTACATAAGGTTAGATCACTTTTTAATAATGTAAAAAAGTCAAGAAAGAAATAATAAAGATAAATACCCCATTTCCCTCTCCATTGTAGTCTGGTTTTAAAAAATACAAGTACTCCAACTGAGAGACTAGAATATCACTATGCTAATTTGGATTTTATAGGAACAACCACAATGTAGGGATGGAGAAGAAAAGGTGCCAACGCTGAAGGAACAAGCTTTAGAAACATAATTGTGGAGAAAAGAGTTAATATCAAGTTGACAAAACATGAAGGTGTCATTTATAAAGATGAGCAAAGAGAAAAAAAATTTATAAAGCCCATAAGAAATTTTGCTAACAAGAAAGTCAGCAGCCTTGACCAGTGGGAGACCGGCTACAATACGTTGACATGAAACAGATTTTTAAATTATTATGTTTAAAATGTCCATGTTTATTAAAAAGGGATTGAATCCATTATGCAAGAATGGGAGATAGAGAAAAAAGATCAACCAGATTTGCAAAATAACAAGCAGAACTCACAGACCTGAAAAGTACAATTATTAAAAATACAGAATAAAATCAGCAATAAGAATTAAGATGAAGACTAATGGTGGAAAGGCAAATTAATTAGCCCAGAATACAGCCTGGAGAGAGAAATGAATACTATGACAGGAAAGAGACACTGAGGATAGGATGCAAAGTTCCAAACATTTCCCCTGAAGCAGAAATTAGATAAAAGCAGCATTCACAGGGAAAATAGTTGGGAGTTTTGCAGAACTGAAGAAACACACGTGTTTCATACTGTAAGTCCATCCTGAGTTTTGTGTGGGAAAAACAAAAGGGAATTTCACTTGAGAAGAGGGTGAGTAAAACCAAAATGTGGTTCTCAATCTTTTTTCATCACTAGACACCTGGTAGGTCCGGTTTGCCCCTGGAACACTGGTGAGCCATTTCACTGTGGTTTGCCTGTGAGCATGTGACCTTGGCAGATAGTTAACTGCAATTCTTGGCACCTCAGACAGCAGGATGGAAGGACAGTGAGGAGTAGTCTCACACTGGGGGCAGGGGCCATCACCACGGCTCCACTACTGCAGCCAAACCTGTGTAGACAGTAGCCACCACTTATCCACAGTTTCACTCACTGAGTTTCACTGACCCTGTGTCAACCTTGGTTATGGATACAAAAAAGGGTTACCATGGTACAACAAAATATTTTGAGAGAAGAGAGCGAGAGAGAGGGACAGAGAAATTCATGTAAGTTTTATTATGGTATATTTTTATTAATTATTATATTTTATTATTAGTTATTGTTGCTAATCTCTCTCTTTTTTTTGCTTTTTTTTTTTTTTGCTAATCTCTTACTTTGCTTAATTTATAAATTAAACAACTTTACTCTCCATGATTTCTAGTATCCACCAGGGGTCTCGGGACATATCTTCCACAGATGAGGGGAGCTATTGTACTAGTTGCTTAATATTGTTCAATCATCAAATCTCTTGAATAAATACAGTTTAAAGATGTTTCATTTCTCCCATCACAAAGATTCACCAAGCTAGGTATTTAAGTCCTAATTATGCACCTATGAAACAGTGGTACTTCAATTTCCTTGTGAGATAATGCAATGTTTATCTTCAGGAACACAGAACCATTTTGCAAGTCAACATACTTTTATCTTGGAATGTAAACAAATTCAAACTTGAAGAATATTAGGATTTAAAATGTTACCTCTATTTCTGTGAGTAACTTGGCTATTCTAAAAAGTAATGCTCCTGCTGTGAAGAGTTATTGATATTACTGAATCAGAGGTTTTACTTAATTTAAAAATAAGATGAAAACAGTTTATAGAAATAATGTATTAAATAATGGCATGTTTTCTTGGCCATTAAAGAGTACAAAGTGAGAAATACTCTTTTAATAGACAAATAATTATGGGTATACTTAAAGACTTTTAGAAAGATGAATATTTTCGCATTGCAGTTAGATTGGACACATTAAGTAAATAGAAAGCAGGCAAAAATTCACTCAAAAGTCTTTTTTATTTTCTTTTTTCTTAAATTCTTTTATTGGTACATTTTAGGTATAGAACACAATTACATTTCTCATTGGGAACTTGTACCTTTACATGATGCATCTTGGTTCTTATTTTTTCCCCATTCCTAGCCCTCCCTTCACCCCCTCCATCCTTCCCTATTTACAAAGACTTTATTTCCATTTTTTCCATTTCTCATCAT